CGATAATGAAAGCAAGAATGATCAGCAACATGTAACCCAGCCCACGTTTTGGATTGCTTCAGTTCCTGTATCATCTGGAAAAGCAATTTTTTACTTAAGCTGACAGACAGGACACCTAGATAAAGCAGCTCATAGATGCCTGTGAAATGCATCATCAGGTATAAACCAAAATACCCAAAAAAGTTTTAGAACGAGAATGTATAAACACTAGGAGAAAGTTAAAAGAAAAAGTTGCCCAATTTAAGACAGTGGACTGAAATTCTTACATACTAGTCATACAAGAGGGCCAATTTGTCATGACGTTATAAATAACAAAACTTGCCTAATCAAAGAAACGAACCTGTTCTCTATCCATGTAAGAAACCAACCAGCAGCGATGATTCCATGCACGATAGTTCATCTTTGATCTCTGCATAGATAGCAAGGCAGAAAAACTTTAGAGTAGCGATCAATAGCACACACGCCCAAGAATTAGTAAACCAGAGCTGTGTTCAAAACCACTTGTATGGAGTGAAAAATGAAAGTCTAACAATACATGCATACACCTAGTCATGTCTGGAAAAATCTCACAATCAAATATGAAATTAATAAACTTCAAAGATGATGCTTTCTTTTTCCCCTTTTCTTTTCCAATTTTTAAAATTTCGTAATGCAATTGTCACGGAAAAGTATGCTTCTTCAGTATTAGAAGTTGTAAACCTTCATGAATCACTACTATGCAGTTCTTGAAATTAATATAAACCTCTGCTATCTTCTCCACCAGGTCAGATTCTCCACTCAAAATCTCTTGCAAAGTTGTAAGATTTCTGGCCATATTCTTGATCACCCACCTCCTGCCAAAAAACGAAGGAAAAATGCATAGAACAAGTTAACTCATGCAGTTCAGCAGATAAACAACACTGGAAGAGAATCAACTAGTACTTCAAGAATATTACCTATGGCTCCATGCTTGCTCGCTCTTGGTTGAATACGAAAGGACAAGGGTAGATAAGCGGAGCTCGTCTGTGAACATCGACGCTTGTGTCTTATTTGATAAGATTAACTTTCTGGTATTTGCATCAAGAACGGTGATTTATAAAAATAAAATAAAAACAAGAACAGCGAGGCACATTGGGCATAAACAAGCTGCAACTATAGGGTTTATAACACAGGTACGAATCTATCATTTCCGGATCATAATGATTCAAATCAACCAGACTCGTATAAATATAGAAATTTTCAAATTGGTTACCTGGAATTCCAAGCAGTCCCGAAATCAGAGTTTAACAACAAAAGTGTTTTGCTGCATTTCATAACAACAATTCCTAGAGCTTCAGCAGAAGGAAGAGATAGGTCGCCGAGTTTCTTGTATTCTGCAATTGCATTCATGAATTGTTCTCTGGCAGCCTTGTACAATCGGAGAACAACCTCCGAAGAAATGCCCAGCTTGTGATCACGAATCCAGAAGCTCCCATCTCCACCATCCAGCGCATCCGAGGCTTTCAATCGTGAGCTACCAGATTCAGAATCTTTCTCCAATGTCGCAAATTGCGAAGGGTGAATGAACCCTACTTCGTTGCTGAGCACGAAGGAGCACCAAAGCAGCCAAAACACAAAATCGAACATAAGGTTGAGCGAATAAGTTGAACGAGGGGAAAACTTCCTGAATCGAATTTGATGACAATGCTTACATGAGGGGATCATAATCGAGAATGTATTCGAATTGATTCAACAATTCTGACATGGCTTCACTCTAAATAGTACCTTCAGGGTTCATTCACGACAATCATTAGTGAGAATGAAATTAGTTACACTACGACAACAGGGAAGATCAATGGCTCTAATGAACGTTGGGAAAGATGGGAAAATATATCAACTACTCATATTGATTATACACACTACATTTTGACTAGGGAACAAAGTTAACACTCCAATACTATAAACGCAATAAATTTCATATTTCAAAACCCACAAATCAACCATGAGTCTAATAAAAATCGCAAGCAATTACAGCGGTTTATAGATGTCAACAGTTGCGGTTACCATCTTCATTACACCAAATTAATTCCATTTACTACTTAGATCATGCAAGAGAAATATACTTAATTTTCATAGATTTAAACTAAATACAATCAAAACTGCATATATCATCAAAGCACATAGGTGCATGGTTTTTGTTTTGGTTAAAACCTAGTATGTTTTTTAAACTTTGGCCTATCAAATCCAAAACCCACAATCTGCCGAAACCAAAACTTGATTAGCAAGCAACGAAAGATCATCGATTAAAGCCTAAAACACCAAGACCATTTTCCATAAATTCGGATGTACAAATTAATTTTTTTTTTATAGTTAACCTTCTTAGTTAATTAAACCAATCAAGGTTAAGAGGAACCTCAACGAAGGCCAACCATTTTCCTAATCCATATCCTATTCCAAAGGTCAAGAAAAAAGCTTGCTTCCTCCTGCAAGTCGGTATCAGCCACCTCTTCAAAGGGCCACTCAAGGCTCACCACACAACAAGCTGCAACAAAAAGAAGTAAAACCAAATTCAGGCACAAATCATGGCTGCTACCTCCTGAGAAGAGTAGGACGGCCACCTTTGTATTTTGGCTGCACAAATCAAGGCACAAATCTAGCTTCCATCAACATTTTCTCGTTTTAAACAAACTCATGTAAACATACCTTTACTAACCTGATCTACATATGCTTTGCTAACATATCTTAGTAATAATTTAGATGTGAATCACCTTTGTATTTTGCACTCATTTTATATATTATATATATATATATATATATATCTATAATATAATATATATATATGAGCTGTATTCCCTCTTATAATCTGTAATAAGTTAGTCCTAAAGGTGAGTACGTCCCTCTAGTTCAAGCATAGTTGAATTCTCAACAAGAGAATCCATTTCCAATCCTCATGATAATAGCAAAAAATAACAGACTCAAATTCATTACAAACTCAGTTTTAGGAGGCTATCATAGAAAGACATTTTCTTTCGTTTTCTAGGGAACACCTTCAAATCCGATCATATCTTCTTATAATAGAACCTTTCGTTTTAAAGACAAGGTCCTAAGTAGAGGCTATGTCTTTTTCTATCATCCTTAAAGTACAGTATAATAATCAGGAACACAAACTTTCTACAATACAAAACATATTAAACCAATGCATACTACAATAGTTTCTTCAAATATGAAATCATTAGCAATGGTTAAGACTTTCAGTTAGCTCTGAATAGTTTTCAAGTATATCAAACATTGGTTTTTCATTGGTAATACTGATAAAATTTTTGCTAGATAAACCCCATCAAGAACAACTTTTTTCTTCCATTCTAAAATCACAAGCAGAGGCTGTGATTTTCAGTTATCTAAAATTATTCAGAAATCATAAGCAGAGGCTGTGGTTTCTATCTATCTTAAAATCATTTCATAGTTAATAAACCCAGCAAAACAAACGATTTACTAAATTTGACCATAAAACACCAATTCAGCTAGCAGATTAAGAAACTAATTCCTCTAATCTGCATTCCAACCCAATCAGCAGTGTTAGATTTCAATCCCGAAGAAACTAACCAAAGAAATCTAATGAAAACCCATTGTCAAACTCACCGAGAAAAGGAACCGAGGGAGTCCGGTGGAGTCTATCACCGACGGCAACTGTTGCCTCGGTGGCGAAGCCCACTCTCCTCCTTCCTCTCCCTCTAAGCCGAAAACCCAGAAAACATGAAATTATCAGAATCGTAAAACATTAAAAAAAAAAAAAAAAAAATCTAAAAGGAGGCATGCATGCCGTCTTTACCTTTATCCTGAGCGAACCCATTAATTTAGGGTCGTCGTTGTCTGGTTCTCTGTCCCACGCCGAGAGAGGAGAAGCACATCGGAATGGGATAGGTTTTGTGGGGTCTGTCTGCTCGAGGTTTGGAGATGGAAGATCCAAAAGGTTCTTTCCTTTAAGCTTCTGGGTCGGTTATGGCCAACGAGACGAGAAGAGAAAGAATGCGATCTTTTTCTTCCTTTATTTCGTTTTCGTCGAGTTTACAGGTGAGAAGGGCCGAGAGTGTGAGGGCGGCGTTGGTCTGGAAGAGAGGACGAGAAGAGGAGGAAGAAGGAGAGGGCGGCGCTTTGGTGGCTAGGGTTTTGATTTTCTCTTCTCTGGAGGAGAAGAAGAGAGAGAGAGTGGGGGTAGAGTGGAATCGAGAGAGAGAAGGCGACCGCTCAGTCTAGGAGCCGATAAGGCAGTAGCCTCATTTCAGGCATCCCCTCTCCATTTTCAATTCCTCTTTTTCCCGTTGCTTGCTCTGCTCCTGTAAATTTTCTTCTGCGGGTTTTGGTTATGAAACGTTTTCATAACCTGGGTAGATAGGAGATTTTCTTGTGAGTGAAAATAGTGAGGTTGTTTGGGAAACACCGTGAGTTCTATTTTCTGGTGTAGAAAATCTCTGTAACCTACCATTGATATAGTGAAGAAATATCCAGAGCTGCTGTTCCCGTGGACTGCCCCTTAAGTGAAGGGGATACCACGTAAATCCTCGGTGCCATTTATTATTGCTATGTTTGTTGTCATTTTGAGAATAGTCGTAGTATATTGTGTTATTAAATTACCGAAGTAAATTGGTCTAAGGAAGTTGGTTACCATAATTCTGGAGGCTTGCCGCCAGGTCCAACTAATTTGGGAACTTTTTACAAGTGTGTGATTTTTTAATCCAATATATTTACCCGCTATTCTCACCCGCTGCGCCCAACAAGATGAAGGATCTCCTGTTCGTGATGAAGTTGCATTTGTCGGTATTTAGCTCGGCTAAACCTGTGAGCAAATCTGACGAGGATTGGGAGTTCGAGCATCAGCAAGTGTGCAGTTTCATTCGACAGTTTGTCGATGATAACGTGTACAACCACATTTGCGGTGAGAATGATGCAAAAACTCTGTGGAGCAAGCTGGAGGGACTTTATGCATCAAAGACCGGCAACAACAAATTATTTTATCTGACCAAGTTGATGCAGATCACAAGGTGCATCATCTTCACAACCAGACGTTCTGACAGTGGCTTCCTGGAGCAAAGGAAGAAGCGAGTCAAGTCGAGGGAAGGCCAACAAGTTTGCAAATGTTTATTGCCATCACTGCAGGGAGAAGGGCCACATCAGAAAATTTTGTCCAAAACTCAGAAAAGAGAGAAGGAAGGACAAAATAGATGATAGCAGTGATGATGATTGTGCAAACTCTGTTGAGGAGTTCAATGTTGTCTGTGAGGAAGAGATGGTCAACCTGAGAGCCCAGGAGACAAGCTGGGTGGTTGATAGTGCAGCCACTGTTCATTCGATGTCCAAGCGAGAATTTTTCTCATCTTACACACCGGGTGACTATGGTGTGGTAAGAATGGGAAATGGTGACCTTTCCTAAGTTGTTGGAAAAGGAGATGTGTGCCTGGAGTTGATGCATGGTGTGAAGTTGCTGCTGCAAGATGTCAGGCATGTTCAAGAACTGCGCCTGAATATAATCTCTGTAGACAAGTTGGATAGGGAAGGTTACTGCAACACCTTCCAGAATGGGCGATGGAAACTCACAAGAGGCTCGTTGGTGTTAGCTACGGGCAAGAAGCTGTCGAAGTTGTATGTGACAAAGGCCAAGATCTCCCCGGAGGTTGTTAACTTGGCGGAGAAAGGTGACACAATCGAATTGTGACACAAGCAACTCGGTCATTGGAGTGAGAAGTCCATGGTGAAGTTGGCCCAGACAAAGCTTATCAGTAGCAGAGATGCTTTGTTCATTGAGGATGAGACCATCAAGAATGTTGTTGAAATTCCTTGTAGTGATACTAGCCTATCACGCCTTGGGCTAGTGACTCCAACAACGGTACCTAGAGAAGTTGGAGAGGAAGTACAACATGATCAGCTGGAGATTGTTGAACCAGATGCTCTCGTGGAGGTTCAACTGAAAGTTGCTGATGAGGATGGTCGACCACCAGCCACGAACAGTTCTCCGATTCAAATGATGGGATCTGGTAGAGTTGTGCGTTACCTACTAGATATCATTTGAATAGTGTTGTAATAATCACTAACAGGGGAGAACCAGATAGCTTTGTTGAAGCTATTAATGAACACAAGCAGAAGCTGATAAGAGCCATGCAAGGTGGGATGAAGTCCTTGTATGAGAAGAAGAGATTTGAGCTGGTGGAGTTGCCGAAAGGCTGCAGAGCTTTGGAGAAGTGAGTGTTCAAGTTGAAGCACGTTGAACACAACCGTCAGCCACATCTCAAAGCGAGACTAGTCACGAAAGGCTTTGGTCAAAGAATGAGCATTGACTTTGACAAGATTTTTTTACTGGTTGTGAAAATGACATCCAATGTTACTGTGTTGTGACTAGCAACAAGTCTTAACCTGGAGGTTGAGAAATTGGATGTGTTCACCTTCCTTCATGGCGATTTGGAGGAAGAGACATGCCTGGATGATGTTAAGTTGGTTAGCTGTCATCATGCTAACAACTTTGTGTGGGCATCCAAGTTGTGCCCGCCTACTGACGGGGAGAAGGGAACATGTTTATGTACTTCAGCATTGGGAAGTATGATGTATGCCATGGTGTGTACAAAATCAGATATTGCTCAGACAGTTGGAGTCTTTAGTGTGTTTCTTTCCAAGCTGGGGAAGGAACACTGGGAAGCTGTGAAGTGGATCCCCAGGTCTACTTCTAGATACCTGATTACGATATCAGGGGGAGAATATGGTGGCATTCAAGGCTACAAAGTTGTGTATCTCTCTCAATGGAGGTTGAGTACATTGTAGCAACAAAAGTTTGTAAGGTGTTGTTCCAACAGGAACAACTGCAGCTGTTCTGTGACAGACTGAGTTTGAGTCTGTTGATCAGCGACTGGGATGATGAAATTTCCCATGTTGTCGGGCGGGGGAGATTTGTTGGGCCCGCCAAATGGTAAAAAGAAAAAAAGGTGCAGAAGTCAAAAGTTGGCGGTGGAAAGTTAAAAAAAAAATTAATTAAAGCACCGTAAGTTGCATTTGGGTAGGTGAGTTTGCAGATGGGAATTCAACTCCCTTTGCCTCCCATTTGCCTATAAAAGGCAGAGGTAGTAGCCTCATTTCAGGCATCCCCTCTCCATTTTCAATTCCTCTTTTTCCCGTTGCTTGCTTCTACTCCTGTAAATATTTCTTCTGCGGGTTTTGGTTATGAAAAGTTGTTTCCCAAACAACCTCACTATTTTCACTCACAAGAAAATCTCCCATCTACCCAGGTTTGGGAAAAACGTTTCATAACCAAAACCTGCAGAAGAAATATTTACGGGAGCAGAGCAAACAACGGGAAAAAGAGGAATTAAAAATGGAGAGGGGATGCATGAAATGAGGCTACTGCCTCTGCCTTTTATAGGCAAAGGGAGTTGAATTCCCATCTGCAAACTCACCTACCCAAATGCAACTTTCGGTACTTTAATTAATTTTTTTTTTTTAACTTTCCACCGCCAACTTTTGACTTCTGCACCTTCTTTTTTTCTTTTTACCATTTGGCGG